TGCAGTGAAACAGAGCTGAATTTTCCTGAACATACTTCACTGACTTCTTGTGTTTCTTGCAACAATGGTTGTGAAGAATTTTGTAAACTTGTGGTGTTTCAAATGATACTGGTTTTTATGATTTTTTTTTTTTGGGGGGGGGATAATTGTTTTGTAATATAATAGGGAGGAAGTGTCGTGATTAGTTGTTAAATGTGTCACCTAAGCGAATAGTATATTGTGCACCCCATGCTCATCCTGGGAGAGACAGCACAAAAAAAATCTGGATTAGAGGTCCCAGTGGGTCTTTGTCAGACCCCACTGGGCAGTGTTACATCACTAGATAAAATAGTCATTTCATATTTTACAATTATTCCATACAGTTAATGTACACAATACAGAATTACTACTAAAGACATTGGTCATAACTGGGTTGCAATTACTTCTTTAAAAGACGTTCATTTATCTAGAAGCTGCAAAATATAGATAGATCCTATAAATTTTAGATATTTCTCCATTAACAATGAGATGTTTTGCTATATCCTGTAAGGTTTACATGAAGGTGTCTCTGAGAAGTTGAATGTTTGCAAACGAGGACATAATACTCCAGTGTATGGCCCTGTCTCCATCCACACACTTTGCATTATAAAATCACTGTATCTTCATACAAGTCACACTGCCAGAGACGCTTATGACCTTAGCCTAGCAGTAACGTCTTAAAAATCTACAAATATTATTATTATGGGTCGGGGGGGAAGCGCTAAACCCGTGGGATTATACAGCGCCTGTGGGGGGGGGATGTGGAAAAATATTCAGGCTTAATTTCAGGGAAAACTGGAGCACAGATCCAATTCTCTAGATCAAGAGCCCTTCATCAGGGGCCAAGAACTTGAAATCTACTGATCCTGTTGGCTTTTCAAATATATTTTTAAACAAGACACGTTTCATTATGATAGATTATGGAGCTGCTAGTTCCTAACTTTATTGTTCCTCGTTTTTCTTTCAAGCTCGTTTGCTAGTTCATTACTGATAACGTTTCGTAAACTTCTGTTTGAAAACAACAAATTATATTTAACATTCTCACTGTGGGTGTTCCCCAGCCAGAGTTTGTGTGCCCGGTCTTGGTTACTGGAGGTTATTCCGGGGATCAACGCCCCCGCGGCCCGGTCCATGACCAGGCCTCCCGATGGATCAGGGCCTGATCAACTAGGCTGTTACTGCTGGCCGCACGCAGTCCGACGTATGAGCCACAGCCCGGCTGATCCGGCCTGACTTTAGGTATCTGTCCAGCTCTCTCTTGAAGGCAGCCAGGGGTTTTTTTGGTAATTCCCCTAATGCTTGATGGGAGGCTGTTGAACAGTTTTGGGCCCCGGAACTTATGGTGTTTTCTCTTAGTGTACCAATGGCGCCCCTACTTTTTATTGGGGGCATTTTGCATCGCCTGCCCAGCCCTTTTACTTTCGTAGGGAGGATTTCTGTGTGAGATTTGGGACCATTCCTTCCAAGATTTTCCAAAGTGTAGATTATGATATATCTCTCCTCCTGCGTTCCAACGAGTACAAGTCAAGTGCTTCCAAGCGTTCCCAGTAGTTAAGGTGCTTGACAGAACTTATCGTGCAGTAAAGGATCTCTGTACACTCTCTAGATCTGCGATTTCACCTGCTTTGTATGGAGATGTTAATGTACAGCAGTATTCCAGCCTAGAGAGAACAAGTGATTTGAAAAGGATCATCATGGGCTTGGCATCTCTCGTTTTGAAAGTTCTCATTATCCATCCTATCATTTTTCTTTGCACGTGCGATCGTGGCACTGTTGTGATCCTTGAAAGTGAGATCCTCAGACATTACTACTCCCCGGTCCCTTCATTATTTTTCCGCTCTTTTGTATGGCCGGAGTCAGTAGTATACTCTGTTCTAGTTATTATCTCCTCCCGTTTTCCATAACGGAGTAGTTGGGGAATTTTTTCCTCATTGAACATCATATTGTTCACCGTTGCCCACTGGAAAACTTGTTTATATCTTCTTGGAGGTTAACCGCGTCCTCAGCAGATGACAGCCTCATGCAGATCCCAGTATCATCCGCAAAGGATGATACGGTGCTGTGGGGTATATCTCTGTTTATGTCTGATATGAGGATAAGGAATAATGGGGGCGAGTACTGTGCCTTGTGGAACAGAGCTTTTTCACTATGGCAGCCTCCGATTTTAACTCTGTTGACCACTACTCTTTGTGTCGATTTGTTAGGAAGTTGAAGATCCATTCCCCCACTTTCCCAGTTATTCCTTTAGCACGTATTTTTTTGGGCTTTACGCCATGATCGCATTTGGGCAAATGCTTTTGCAAAGTCTGGGGTATATTACATTTGCATTCTGATTTTCTTCCAGTGCATCCAAGGCCATGTCATAGTGATCCAGTAGTTGTGAGAGGCAGGAGCGACCTGCCCTGAACCCATGTTGCCCTGGATTGTGCAGGTTTTGGGAATCCAGGTGATTTGCAATCCGCTTCTTAGCACTCTTTCAAAGATTTTTATGATGTGGGATGTCAGAGCTATTGGTCTATAGTTCTTAGCTAATGCTTTGCTGCCACCTTTATGGAGTGGGCTATATCCGTTGTTTTAAGTGACTGTGGAATTTCACCCATGTCCAAGCTCCTCTCCATAGTGTACAAAGGGCATGCGAGAGGGGTTTCTTGCAGTTCTTAATGAAAAAAGAGTTCCACGAGTCTGGGCCCGGGGCTGAGGGCACAGGCATATGTCAATGGCTTTCTCGAAATCTATCGGAGTTAGGGTAATGTCGGAAATCTGGCATACATTTATGGAGTTTTGAGGCTCATTCATGAAGAAATCATTTGGGTCGTCGATCCTCAGACCGATTAGTGGTTCACTAAAACAGAGTCGTACTGGGATTTCAATATTTCACTCATTTCCTTGTTGTCGTCTGCGTAAGTCCCATCCTGTCTGAGTAAGGGCCCGATACTAGATGTGGTATTTGCCTTGTTTTTGGCATATGAAAAGAAATATTTTGAATTTCTTTCAATTTCACTAATAGCTTTAAGCTCCTCCTGCCTCTCCTGGTTCCTGTAAGAGTCATTTAGCTTAAGTTCGATAGTTTCCACTTCCCTGGTCAGCGCCTCCTTTCGTGTATCAGATATTCTAGCACTCCTGAGGAGCTCAGTGACTCTTCGTCGTCTTCTGTAGAGGGAGCGTCTTTTTCTCTCAGTTTACTCCTGCTCTTCTTCTTTCTTAGGGGAATATGCCTAGAACATGCTTCGGCTACCAGGAAGTTGATCCTTTCAAGGCACTGGTTTAGATCCATGTCATTTAAGACATCTTCCCAACATGTTTCGTTTAGGACATGGTTTACCTGGTCCCAGTTGATGTTCTTGTTGTTGAAATTGTATTTTGTGAAGACACCTTCACAGGTACATGCATTCTGTTGTTCAGGACCCCTATGCATGTACGTCTGGACTTCGATTAGATTGTGATCGGAATTAGTTGTTTTTGATATTCTTATGTCTCTTATCATGTCCTCATTATTTGTGAAGATAAGGTCAAGTGTGTTTTCTAGTCTTGTTGGCTCCACTATATGCTGGCTTAAGGTGTGTTTTTCGCAGAGGACTTAGTAGCTCATGTGTGTGTGGACCTTTCATCTGCATTACCTCCGGGGATTGTTTCAGCTATAACATTATTTGCTACATTCTTCCATTTTGTATGCCTTAGGTTGAAATCACCAAGCAGTAAGATGTTTGGGGATGGAGCTGGAAGGTTTTCCAAACAGTAATCGATTTTCAGTAGCTGTTCCTTGAACTGTTGGGAGGTTGCATCTGGTGGTTGTATAAAACCACAATGACTAGGTTTTGGTTCTCGATCTTTATTGATAGAACTTCAACTACCTCATTTGTGGTGTTCAGCAACTCCGTGCAGATAAGGGACTCTTTGACATACAGGCCAACCCCACCTTGTTGCCTGTTTTTTCTGTCGCATCTAAAAAGGTTGTAACCACTTATCCATATTTCACTGTCAAAGTGATCTTTTGTGTGAGTCTCTGTGAAGGCTGCAAACATTGCATTAGACTCCACTAGAAGTCCACTGATAAAAGGTATTTTGTTGTTGGTGGATGGCTTAAGGCCCTGTATATTAGCAAATATGAACGAGGTTGTATTCTGTGTTTGTTGGGGGGATTTTGTTATTGGCATCAGTAGTTGTAATTCTGGAGGGCCATGGGTGGCCACTGGCTGCGCCTCCAGTCCAACAAGGCTCCAAGGTGGTGGACTATTTTTGTTATTTCCTTCCATTTTCTTTTTTCGTTTCCTGCCACTAAAAAATCACCTGGAGTTGGGTTGTCGTAGCTACTATTGTTTGTCTTGTGGGTCTGTGCCTCCTGGTCCCTTTTAGATGGTATGCAGGGCACTCGATGTTGTAACACTGCTTCTGGAGGACCGAGGAGTGGCACATTTTTGGGTGAAAGAAAGTACAGGAAGAAGAACGACACACTCCTTTAGACAGGAGGTCGCTACATTTTTGGGGATGGTCAAAGTTGCATGTCCCATTTTTTTTTCCCTGTTATTCCATGCTTACAGATGCCCCAAGCATAATATTTGCACAAATTCACCTTTGGTTGAGAATTGTTGGGAGGTGTGTTGTCAATTTCTGCAGGTTCTGGGACTGCACTATAGGAAGGGTTGCCCACAGGTAGGCGGTGTCCCCGGCCATTGTGGGCGGTGTTTCCACATTCAGTCAGGACGGAACTTCCCACAGGTGGGCGGTGCACCCGCCCGCGATCAGATAGGACCATCCACTGGTGGACAGTGCACCCAAAAGCGGTCAGAAAGGTCTGCACACTGGTGAGCGGTGACTCACCGCACGCGGTCAGGAAGGGCCGCCCACTGGTGGGCGGTGCGCCCGCACGCGGTGGGAAGGGCCGCCCACTGGTGGGCGGAATGTCCGCACGCAGGAATGGCAGGATTTACACTCACTGCCCGCGCCAGCCTGCCCCTGCACCGAGGCAGTCTAGTTGCCGGGGAAAGCTGGACGAAGGACACGCTGCTCTCTGATCACAGCTCCGGCATCTCTCATGGTGTTGCATTAACCAAACAAACTAGTGTGCTCTCTTTGTTTAGATTAAAATTTCCTTTAAATGTTTTGTCATGTTTGTGAACTTGACTGGGCTAGTATGGAACAAGTGAAATTTATCAAATTGGAATATACTCCTCTCTGATTATGGAAAAGGTTATCTGGCTGAAGTTAATTATGTGAAGTTGAGACTTAAGTTTGCTGTTTCTAAAATGCTATACTCAATAGTATTTCATGCGGTATATTTTTACGGCCAAATGATATGAATATGAAGTGTCAAGTGCTGAGGTTTGATATAAAAACTAATGGCGTCATACACTACGCTAAATATTCTTGTCAAAATTACATTGAACATCAATAACTCTGCAAGCATGATATACCTGTTTGTACAATGTTTAATTCAGGTACTACCATAGGTTACACAACAAAGTTGTTCACAAATTTTGGTTAAACAATAACTTGAGAAACTGTTTGTAATATTTCAACAGTTACCGAGTAGACTTACAAACATAATGACTCTGTGTTTCTCATAAAGTGGTTGTAATGATCATGCCACACATAGAAGTGCTTTAACTGTGAAAACATGAAGCTCATTTTGTGACAGATCACATAACAACCAATGCCTCTATAGACTCTAGGGGTCATCGCCCCCGCGGCCCAGTTCCAGACCAGAAATTTTATTCCTTGGAGGATTTTTACTTTGTGAGTACTTTGTGACAAGTGATAAATATATAAAAAATTGTATGATATAATAAAACTTTTATGTCGTATACAGAAAAACATAATTAATTGAAAAATAATTAAGAAAACGATGTTTGCTGTCTAGAGAAATAGAACTATGTAACGTTCGTCAGCTTCCTGACGCTCCTAGCGAAGTAATTCCTTCATCCCTTACGGGCAGACTTGTAGTTTTCCATGCACCATGGAGCTCTTGGATCCTGTTGTCGATTTTGAGAGGACGTGGAACGTGAGCAGCATCCAGGTGAGAGACTTGGTGTGGAACGGAACCAATCTGGAGTACGAGGATCAGACTCTGAATGACTCTTTTTTGTTAATGAACGGCACAGGTGGCACTGTTAATGAGACACAGTGGGAGGAAAATAAGTACAACCTTCCCTGGTGGCACCAACTCATCTGGTCCATTTTCTTCGGAGGGATGGTTGTTGTTGCAACAGGGGGTAACCTCATTGTCATCTGGATCGTGCTGGCTGACAGACGCATGCGCACTGTCACCAACATCTTCCTGGTCAACCTTTCTGTAGCTGACGCCATGGTATCCACACTTAACGTGGTCTTCAATTTTACCTACATGTTAAACCTTCACTGGCGCTTCGGCAGGATCTACTGCAAAATCAGCCAGTTCGTGTCTATCCTCTCCATTTGCGCCTCCGTTTTCACTCTAATGGCCATCTCTTTTGACAGGTTAGTCTCTACGGAAGTACACATCCAAAATTGTCTTGTAATATTTTACTCTCTAAACAGGAATTTATACTTCCAGACTGTATTTTATTATATTATAAAAATTATTGTGTATTATTTTGGTAGAATTGCCGACAATATGTAAAGTTAACGGCTTGACAAAGCTCCTGAAGAGCGAAACGTTTCCACAATAAAATGTCACATTAGTAGCACTTGTATCCTTTTACTTTACATAAAAATTATTACTATTTTATTATTATTATTATTATTATTATTATTATTATTATTATTATTATTATTATTATTATTATTATTATTATTATTATTATTTAACACTAGCCTAATAAGAGATGGATCAGATATCGACAAGTGTGTAACAAGACTCATGAGTGTTAGTTTGGCATTTATTGAGGACATATTACTTCCAGGGGAGCCTTTTCAGGCTGCGTATTGTATTAAATATGCTCCACCAAACATAACGTCTCCTCAGGAATTATCTTAATATTCTATGTTCATAATAGCAAAAATGGAAGAGCACTGTAGCGTACCTACTGCCCCATGCTAGAGTGTTAGTAATCCACCTTAGAAGACGAAAACAGCACTTTTCTTTGCCTCGGTTTCCTCTTTCACAAAAACTTACTATTAGTTAATGTGTAACGTAAACCCATGATTTTATTCACTTCTTGTCTCAGTACTCCACTAGAACCAACTCTTGGCTTGTAAGGCTCTCAGATTCCGGAGCCCCGATGTCCTGGAAGACGAGTACCTCAAAATTACTATCATCTTCCGTAGTTTACATTTTCCTGCCTCCTTCAAACAGGATTATAGAAGGAAAGCAAAGAATAACTACCACCGAGAGTCGATATTATTATTACTATTATTATTATTATCATTGCTGTTATTATAAAACTTAGCGCTAAACTCACAAGGATCATACAGCGCTGGAGTCGATAATAGCAGTAACAGCGATTTAATCCTTCCTAATTCCATGGTACATGAGAACGCTTCTAACTTACCTAAAAAAAAGGCCAGCTACATCGCTGCTACTGCCACCTGTATCATTGTCAGAGACATTGCAAGGTCTACGGTCAGTGAGCGGTTAGTGAGCTGTGCACCTCATGCTCATCCTGTGAGCGGTAGTGCAAAGAAAAGCAGAATTACACAGGTCACAATGGGTCTTTATCAGACCCCAATGGGCACTGTTACATCACTAGAAAGAAATACTAGTCATTTCATATTTTATGTAGACAATAAAGTATGAAATACAATCTTCCCCCATAATTTCTACTAAAAAAATCTACTAAAAAATGGCCATAATTGGGTTGCAATCTCATCAATAAAAACAGTTTATTCATCTAGTCGATGCAAAAGGTGGATACAACCTCAAGATTTGAGATATTTTATTAACAATGTAGTGCTTTGTCAGATAATATAATGTTTGCATGGAGGTGTCTCTGAATGGATGGATCTTTGGCACTAAGATACACTGCTCCACTGTATACCCTTGTGGAATTAACACCATTCCTGAGAAGCATGCCGGCATCTACACTATTTCTTGCTCTACCATTTTGAATATTTTTTATTTGATCTAATGTTTTGTGAGGAATATATGTACTATGAGCAACTTATACATTTAAATAAATGTCATACTGAGAGCTCTCGTAGACTCTTCGTTACTGTTTGTAAGACTTTCGTCCACGAATCACTAGCCAGGTAACCCAGTCAGCGCTAGACAGCTACTTTCTAGGTTTATTATAATCTGCTGGGCGAAAATCTGGGACCTTTACTGCACTATCTTTACTGTCATAATTCTAGTTAATATTTTAAATTTAGCAGAATTGTGATCACTTGCGCCAAGCTCTTCTGTAATCTCAAGATTATGTTCTAATGTTTCTTCATGTAGCACAACTAGGTCAGGCGGGTACTGCTGTACCTTCAGAGTTTTGTTAACATGTACTCATTCTTTTCGCATCTAGTTTGATTAAGTTCCATGTTCTTTAGTTTATAGGTACCAAAATTACTTTCATTTCCGAAGATAAGGATTCGGCATTTTCCACACTGAACTGCGACCACCATTTTTCAAACCATGGGATTAATCTGTCCAAATCATTCTGAACTGCCACATTATCATTCTCAGAATTCGTAATACTATTCTTTTTGAGTATGTGCCGTTAGAGGATTTACTCAAGGTGCTTTTAATTTCTTCATTAAGTGTATTAACGCAAATTATGAACAATACTGATATAATCAAGTTAAGCGCTAAACCTAATGAATGGATATGTCTCCTTAATATTTCCAAAAACCCAGCCTTATTCTTAGGAAAATTATAGATGCATAAAACATATAAGCAATACAAAAATATAAGCGATGTGGGGCATTAAAAATGATACAAAACTCACACAATTCACTAAATAAAAAACTTACAAAAATGAAGTATGCAAGAGCTTAAACCAAGTTGTATATATATATATATATATTATATATATATATATATATATATATATATATATATATATATATATATATATATATATATTATATATTAATATATAATACTCCCTGACATTGTAAACTGATCTACAATGATCAAATGTTACGTGAACAGAACATTCACAGAAATGGCAGAAGCTTGTCACCACCATAAACTGAGGTTAGACACCCGTGTTATAAAAGAAGACATGAGCCCTAATGAGAGGAGCATGACAATCAACACAGTGTAATGTAGCTGAACACGCAGGCTTGAGTGAACCGTTATACGTAACGGTGAGCCAAGCTGGCTGGAGGCACAGTGAGAAGTGGCTAAAAAAGAAATACCTCGTAGAATGACAGACCCACACATACGTTGTAGCTTTCCACAAATGATGAAAGTAAAGTTGAACAAATCATTCGTGGCTCTTTGTTCAAGTCATGCAACTTATCTAATTCCTTGCAGTCGTGATGATCCGATCAAAGCAGGCTATGAAAGAGAAGCACACACATAGCGATTACCAGCATGACAAATGGTTCGCTCACTCGATATGCTGAAGGCTTAAAAGGTCGGTGAGAGAATAAACAAACAGTCTAACGTTACCCTAAAAACAATGATTCCACAAACCAAGAGAGTTACAGCTAAAAAAAAAATAGATACTAATAATTACACAAGGGAATGCACATTAATGATAGACAGAGAGCTGGGTAGTGAAGCATTTTTCTCACAGTCCCCAGAACTACACATTACCTACCACCCCCAGATAGTAGTGTGGCGAGTGACATTCTCAAGATATAAGCGAAACAAAAATGAAAACTAGAGAAGAAAAAAATTCAGGCAACCTCTTAAAGATCTTCCTTTGGGGATACCTAATGATGTACAGACTTGCCTTGTAGGGGTCCTAATAGTTGCCTTTTTTGTCTGGCTATGTCTTTGATGATGCTGGATGTGACAGTGACAACACGTATGTTGCTGTCGGCAAGGGTAGGTGTAATATATCCCGCAGTGTGGTCTGTAAAAAGGGTGAATCATTTGTCTTCTCCGAGTTTAGGGAAGATTTTGTATGAAAGATCCCTGCAGTCCCGGATCCAAGGAATTTTAGTGTGTGAAAGATATCATTTAAAACGTTTCACTCTTCCTCCAGATATTGAGATAACCAGATATTCTAGACAAAATTACTCATTCACGCCAATGGTGTTGATATCCTGATTAGCGTGTATAACATATTCTTAACAACATTCAACTTAGTGGAAAACAACGTTTTCCACAAGTTTTGCAGAGGTTCCATATATAGTTCACAAAACACAAGACATGTTTAAAGCAAAATGGAAAGACAGCCTAATTATGTTTACAGTACTTTGATCTTATGTCTGTAGCACTGCATTTCATGAAGGCAAATCGCATGGGAAACTGGGATCTTTATCATGATTCCATAAGAGTGGAAATGATCACTCTGCCAAATTCTGTCAGCTCTTCCTACAAGATATGGATTTTTCTTCCTCTTAAAATGACAAGAAGTTTCATTGATTTACATCGAAAGGTAAATTTGTAATTTGTTATTCAGAAAAATACAGATGTAGTTAATGGTCTCCTATGACAATCGAACAGATATTGATGAAGAATGTGAAGAGCACTGGAGGTATTCCTTACGGAGGGTTCACAGTGTGACCTAAATAAATAGATCCTTGGGTTACCAGTACCACACCGCATATGAAAGCATCTTGAAGAGTTGTGCAGAGTTTGGACCAAAAACAACTTTCAACATATTGAACCGAGAGGTTCGAGGATATAATAGGATGAAAAAGATGTTCTGAAGTAGTATTGCTGTGCCTATTTTAGAATATGATTGATGGAGTATTTATAAATGACCATACTAAACTAATTGTAATTAATAATTTAAATTATATTTTTCAAATTATAAACAGTAGGAAAAGTTAATGTAATACCTAGTACAGTAACGGCAAAACTAGTAACTTATAATTATTAACACTTTCCTAATTTAACATAGAAACTTAGACTTTATGTCAGCCATTCAAATATTCTACATTTGACTATTAATTAGACTGACACAATACTGCATGATGTCAGCGAATGTGTCTTGCAATGTTATCTTCAATTCTCTAATGAAAACGTACTGCCAAAAAATCTCTTTAAACTATCTCAAAATACGTTTTAGTAAATCACTTTAAAAGAAGTTTAATTTTAAGTAGTTGAATGGAAGCTTGCATTCAGAAAACAACCAACGCTAACAAACGCCAATTTACTTGTGGATGCTTTAACTACATCACACCAGCCATGGTTGTTAGAGGGACAAAATTACGCATATACATTATTTAACCAATAAGCAGGAAGCTCACGTGGGAATGCGGTGACAGATAACCAGTGATATGACTAGTGTCAAAATCGCTGCCCATTCATCACTGTAAAGTGGTGTGGTTATTCCTGAAAACATGAATTGTTACAAATTTACAGATAAGCCAAGATGATAATGAACGATTCTCTGAAAGATAAACAAATATTTGGAGAATTTTCAGCA